ACGATGCAGGAAAGGAAGGAGCGCAGCAGAGACATCAAAGGGATAGCAAGAGCCTTGTGGGGCTGTGCTGAGAGACCACTGGCAGTCCTGAACCTGAGCAGTTGGCCCACATTGTGCAGAGGAGCACAGGATACGGCAGTGGTAAGTGCTGTTCCAAGCAAGAGGCTCATGCATCACCACAAATACTTTTGTGGCACATGCCTGCCAGGACAACACGCCCTGGGGTTCAGCGTAGCAGGCTGACAGGTAGAAAACCTCTCATTTTTCATACAAAGAGGGTGTTGGCTTTGCACCACGGATCAATGAGCTTGGGATTACCAGGCCACGCAGCTGGAATCTCTTTTCAGGAGACAACTGAAAAAAACCAGCAACAAAAGACAAAATTCAGGCTAAGCAAAAGCATCAGCTTACCTGGTTTGGCTTCTAGCACATCTGCTGCTCCGGTGTCCCCTTCTCAGGGTCCCTGCTACCAGCACACGGCCCCACGTCGCTCCAGTACATTGCCTTCTTGGGACTCGGGCTTTTTAAAATGAGTGTCAAGTCAAAACATCTCTTCCTAAGCTGACTACACACATCACGCAGGTCCCTTGCTAAGCCCAGATATGTCTTCCCCCAAACCTTGGGCTGATCACAAGTATTTCCTAAAGCTTCCACTTCTTGCATTTCTTGTTCCCATCCTCATCCCTTGACCCCTTGCCCTTGTTCTCATCCTCATCTTTACTTCCCAACATGCAGGTGGCTTCACTTGGGCTCGTTTATGTGGCTGGAGTGAAGAACCTGCTTTCCGGGGTGTCTCTGACCCTAGACCTCCAGCTTGAGCTTTCCAGTGACTGTCACCTGCTCCCTCAGCCTTAAACCCCATCACTTGGGAACCCACTGCTGGGACTACGTTCAAACCTCTTTAAAAGGGCCAGCACGCCCGGTGACAGGTCACATCTGCAAGAGCCACATGCTGCAAACTGGCAACAATTCAAATGATCTGTGCTGGAAGATAGGCAAAGTCAACACTGCTGGGACCAGAGCCCGTGGCTGCAGATCAACCGAGCATTACAAACCCCATGTTCCAGCTGCACACGCAGGCCAGAAGCATATTAGCAAGCTACGGCTGTGGCACGGCATGTGCAAACATAGTTATTTGCTACAGGGCTAACTGGGGTATCAATCAGAACTGCCAGTTGTTTCATGCTGGGTCAGATCCTGGTGCCAGTGAAGTCAACGGGACTTCTACTACTGGCTTGAACAGAGACAAGAGATAAATCCTGCGATTTTATGCTCTGTGCCCACCTGGCTCTCTTCCAAAGAGCATGCATGCAACAGGAGATCTGGAGGGACTTGTTAAGTGGGTCCCACCCTCTAGGAAAGCAGGATGTGGAACAATTAGGGTACTGTCGTGGGTTCATCCTAACACTTTGTGTTAAAAGGTTGATGTTAAAAATTATGGCTTCGTAGAGCTGGGAGACAACACAGGACCTTGCACAAGGTAGCTACATGAATAAAGAGTTGTTGTATGTCAGTGGTCACCAACCAGTCGATCGCGATCAACTGGTCAATCCTGGAGACTAGATCTGAGGCTGGGGGGGGCCGAGCCCTGGCTTAATCTTCACCATAAAGAGGTTGGCGACCACTGATGTAGAGCTTCTCTCAGGCACAGCTCCGCTCTTTCTGAGACTGATTTCAGCAAAGCATTTAGTAAAACAAGGTTCCCCCCATGCCCCACGTGGACAGTTTGCCCTCTCATCACAACCACCAGCAACATTACAGAGGCCCCTACAGAATACAAGTCGTGTCACTGTGAGGCACTGATGGCCGAGGCATCCACGTGCTCAACACTGCGGAGGAGATAGGACCAGTATATATAGTCTCGACGGGATGCATGCACGCCTTCCCTCTATGGATGCTGGAGATGCAGGTTATCACTGCCATCGGCTTCAGCCCATCTTGAATGAACCAAGAGATCATGGAAATTGTGTGCGATGTGTAGGTCTCCACGCAAATTTCTCTTTTCTCCGTACGTGTCTGGAGACCAGTGAGATTTCCCCTCATATCTCAGCATTGCAGAGGTTAAAGACAGGAGCTCACGATGGAATCAGCAGGGAACATGCAACACTTTCCTAAAGAGATGATCCAAAGTGAAGTCTGTATGCTAGGCCATACACTCTTTCCTGGCCTATTTCTCCCCAAACTGAAAGCGATGGCTCAGTATTATTTACTGATCGTTGGGAGTGTCTACACCTGCACATTTAACATTCGCTAGCCAAATTTAAGGCACTTTAAGGGCACGTGTCTACATGTGCACACCCTTAATGCACCTTAAAAATGGCGATTTACAGCTATTCAAGCCTAAAAGCAGGTATCAAATTTATGCCCGAAAAGCTAAATTGCATGAGTGAACATGAAGACACACTAATGCACATTAACATGGTGCGTCTCCCTCGACTTAGGGTTAACTTTAGCCCCAAGTTGGTCTGCATACCCACGTTAATGCACATTAGCATGTGTACGTCTAGACATGCACCTAAATCACCTTAATGCGCATTAAGCTAATGTGCATTAAGTTTAGGCATGTGTTTCAGCATGTGTAGACATGTGCATTCACAGTGTGCTCTGTCCCAACAAAGCTGTCCTGTATGAAGCACAAGACACTCCAACCCCCTGGTCCAAGCAGGACCAGCCCCAGCTGTATCATCCCAGCCAAGGCTTTGTCTAGCCGGGGCTTAACCACCTCCAAGGATAGAGAGTCCACCACCTCCGTGGGAAGTCTGTTCCAGTGTTTTACTACCCATCTAGTGCAAAAGATTTTTCTATCATCCAACCTCAACTTCTCTTGCTGCAGCTTGAACCCATTGCTCCTTGTCATCTGCCCCCACTGAGAACAGCCCAGCTCCATCCTCTTTGCAGCCCCCCTGCAGGGAGGTGAAGGCTGCTATTCAATCCCCCTCGGTCTGCTCTTCTCCAGACTAAATCAGCCCAGTTCCCTCAGCCTCTCCTCACCAGTCCTGCCCCCCAGTCCTGCAACCACTTTCGTTGCCCTTCGCTGGACTCTCTCCAATTTGTCTACTTCTTTTCTGTAGGGGGATTCTCAAAGCTTATTTGATGACATCAGCAAGGCCATTAACCTGTTATTGTGAATATGTGCTTGTCATCAGCTGAAAACTTAATACACCCCAACAGTGAAGCTACCCCATTTTTTTAAAGCAGCATCTCTGGTGAGGCAGCACAAACCCATGCAGATGTCACTTAGCCGAATTCCTGGCACAGCAAACAGTCTTGCCCACTTGGATACCATAAGGAATAGACGCGACACAGAAGACAACAAAGCTTTACCAGGAATGGACAGACTCTTTCACTTCTGCAGCATTTAGAAGTGATTTTCATGAACCATTGGAAAGCCATTAACAGAAAATTTCATCCCAAAGGATTTGAAGGAAGAATAGTTTAGCTACAAGAGCAATTAGGGATTGCAGTTAATGGACTGGGATTTTAAAAGTGGAAGCGATCCACTGTGCCTGCATGCTATTTTATTATTTTATTTTCTCCCAAATTCATCTATATCTTTTTAGTCTCTAAGCCAGTGGTCCTCAACCTTATTAGACATAAAGTCCCCCTCGCTAGATTCAAGACACCCCTCGGAAAATGCCAGCTCTAGAATATGGAAAAATACTAGAGCAATGCTTCCATTGCAGAAAACACAAAATGACCATGAACACCCAACAGCAATAATACTGAGCACACCACAGCACCCTTGGTCACCCCGATCGAGAATCACCACTTCGAGCTTTTTGAAGAAGACACAGCCCCCCCCCCCGGGCTGCTTCAGTGCGGACAAGACTGTGCATGATACTATAAGCATAATAAAAACACTTTAAAAATGTGTCTTCACACCCGTCTCCTCATTTTCTGGCTCTGGGCTAGAACGCGACAGCTGTTTCACAGCACATAATACTCTTTAGGATGGAAAAGGAAGTTAAAATTAGAGAAACAAATCTTCATCTGCTGTCACGGTTAACTTCATTAACTTCACTGGAGCTCCACCAAGTTATAGCAGGTGACGATCTAGGCCATAATAGCACAATGGAAACTACAGGGAGAATTGAAGGAAACAGGCCGAGAGTGCCAAAATCGGAAGGCAGCGGAGAACATAAACTACAGACCATTATGAAAAGCATGGGAAATTCCTAATGCTCGTAAGCGAAGATCTCTGCTGTGCCTCAACCTTCTGGACAACGCGGTACGGAAATGCACAGCGAGCCATTTGCACCCAAAAGCCTTCTTTAAAATGAAGCAGTGTTTCAACCTTAGCTCTAGCTTAGTGCTTAAGATGATGGTGGTGGTGGTAAGAAAGCATGGTTTGCATGTACCTACTCTAGTTGGATTCCTTTCTTGTTTGTAAGCGAACGTCATCGGTGCAGCAAGCAATGGAAAGCTACTTCTGCGTATCGGCTTCCAGGAAGAACCACAGCCTTTTTATCTTAACTGAGAGGCCGTTACGAAGAAAAGCGCAGAACAAAACATCTTGCAGCCGCCATCTGATTATATTGCTGACACATTTCTGAGCAATGCTTAGAAGCTTTTTTGGCTTAATTTCTAATGCTTTATGAGAACTCATTTTTGGTGAAGGGGTGAAGACTGGAGGATCTTTTTCATGCTGGTGCCAGGTGATTTGGATGTGGGGTTTCACTTACATTTGGTCACTGAGCTTCAGCACTTACAAAAATTTTAAAAATGAGAACTGCTATTCTCTCTGGATCAGCTCTGGGAATGGGAAACCCAGAAAAAAACATTACACACTGGCTTTTAATGATGGCTATGACAAACCAGCACACTAAAGATGTCCCTCCCACTTTAAAAGCTGACATTAGCTCACTCTGAAAGCTTGCCATGCCCAACAGAAAACATGATTATGCAGCCATTAAGCCAGCTTTCCAGGAACACCGTGCAAGTAGCAACAGTGGAGATAGGCGGCTACTGTAAAATTGTGGTTACTACAAGTCAATCCGAAGTCATTTTTTTATTTTTTCAGCAATACAAAAACGTTACAAATAATTCTTCCCCGTGGAGCTAGGAAAATAAAAACAAGTAAAAAGGACAAGTACAAAAAAAAAATCTTTTAAAAACAGTATTAAAAATAAATATATAAAAATGACTATCCACATCAGGTCATCGATTCTTAAATACATATATAAATACCTCCAAACTACATTGATCTGGAAAGGGGATCACACTATTGAAACCAATTGCTTATAAAAAGAATATTCTTTTAAAAAAACAGCTATCCACACACAAAAAATCACTGATTCTTAAAAAACATAAATAAATCCAAACTAGTTAGACACAGTGACACGGCGACCAATGCAAACTACACTCTGCATACTGAAATATTTACTGAGTGCTCTATTTTCACCAGCTGATCTGCATATATAAGGCGCTGGGAATTCCCCGTCTGCAATACACCTCCTTTAAAAACCGACGCTCGTCGTTCTGATCAGTTCCAAGGCACTTTTCTCCCCAAGACACGATTGGTGATTTTCTGTGGAGAGAGAGAGAGAAAGGCAAATGACTACTATACGTCTCTATCAAATAAGAGATGACAACGCTGCGTGGAAACCGTGCAAACCACTGTGCACATCGGGATTAGCTAACACAACCGAGGCGTGCTGCATTTTTGTGCTGGTATGAAAGTAACGTAATTTTGCTGTATTTTCTTGCATATAACACTCCTGAATAAGATATGGACCTTGAAAATACAGGTCAGCGTGGTATTTTCTCAGGGAAACACAAGCAGCTGCCATGGGGAAGGGAGAGGATGGGAGAAGGGATTGCAGGCAGCAGCATCAAGAGCCACCCTTTCCTGCCGAGTCAGTAGCATCTTCCATAGCCCAAGTCTCTGCAGGGGGGAAAGGGACAGTAATTGTGGCCGTGGGCACGCAGTGAGCGCACGCGGCTCCTACGGCAGCTAGGGAAGCCCTGCCGAAGCAGCATGACCTTCTCTTCCCCCTGGCAGCAGCCTTTTTTGCTGGGGGGAGGTATGTATTATATGCAGGAAAATACGGTACCGTGTCTGCCCCAGGTGACATGGCACAAACAGCAACCCAGGCAGATCAAGCATTTATTGCTATGAAACAGGGATCAATCTGTCGTGATTTTTTTTTAAACTGAGAAACTCTTGGTATCTCAATAGTGAGTGCATAAAACCTGTTCTGCACGACTTCAGGAACTTATTTTAAAATGACGGTCTTTCCCCGTCAGTCAGAGTTTTACTTCCATAAAAGCACGATGAATCAATCATCCATTTCCTCCTAAAGGCCAGGTATGAGCCTCAGATATGGATCCCAGAACAGGGTGGAAATCCCCCTCCTTCTCCGGCATAGAAACGAGGAGCTGTGAACATGCAGACACCAGGAGGGCCGGCATTACCCGACACAGCAAACACAGCTCAGGTTTTACAAGCCCTGTCATTGATTGGCATAATGAGGTAGCAGAGTCCTTATGAAGTCAATATAGCAAGCAATGGTGTGCAAAAAAAAAAAAAAGGACATTTGCAATTGATAACAGGGCTGTTTATAACATCCACACTGTATTTTCTATTTGCTTCTTATTGGGCAGGGTATGTACCACATTGCAAGGCTGTTTCAGACAACTGTTACCTTTCTCTCTAAAATAATTTTTTCTTCCCCATATTTTAGCGAAGAAAATCTTGTACGGTTTCTGACAGCGCGGGGAAACCTTAACCCTGCCCACCTCCTCTCTTCCCCCACCAGACGCATCCCTCTCCAGTGCACATACGGGTCTCCTCTTCCAACACAGTGTGGCCTCTTACCTCCAACTTTGCCCATTCATTAAAAAAAAAATCAGGTACAAAAAAGGCATGCGTGCATCTCTGCTACTTGAGCCAGCAAGCTGCAGCACCTTTAAAGCATAACACGTCTTCCAGGGCTTTGTAAACTGGCAGCATTGTCTATCTGATCTATTATTAAGAATGAGGTGTGAAAAAGGCCGTTAGCAGATCTGAGCTATCACCACCTGGAGGAGGCAGATGTGCCCAAGACAGTCTCCCACGACTTCTCATTAATAAGCTAAAGATAAACAGCTTACATGAAAGTACTATAAGGTAGAGACACAAGCAGTTGGATCATCATAGTCAACACATATTCAGCAATGGGAGGAGGTAGCAAGTGGGCTTGTCCTGGGTCCGGTATTAACATCTTCATTAATGCTTCGGAGGATGGAACTGAGCGTGCACTTAGCAAATGCGTAGATGACGCCACGTTGGGTATAACTGCAGACACTCTGGAGGGTAGGGCTAGGGTCAGGCCACTCCCGAAATGGTCTGAAATCAATAGGATGGAGTTCAACAAGGACAAATGCCTTTTCCACTCTTCAGCACTGGCAAGGCCTCACCTGGAGCCCCGTGTCCAACTGTGGGTTTCAAGAAGGATGCAGACAGATTGGAAAGACTGCCGCAGAGAGCAGCAAAAAATGACTAGTGGCCTGGAAGTGACTGAGAAGAAAAGGCTGAAAGAACTGGGACTGTTTTAGTCTGGAGAAGAGAAGATGGGGGTGGGATTTGAGAAGTCTTCAAACGTCTCAAAAGCAATTATAAAGAGCATGAAGATAAGCTATTCACTTGGGCCACCGAGGACAAGACAAGGAGCAATGGTCTCAAACTGCAGCGGAGGAACTTCAGCTTGGAGAAGATGAACTTTTTGACTACGAGGGCGGTAAACGCTGGGCCAGGCTACTCAGACTTGCAGACTCTCCATCCTTGGGAAATGTCAGGAGCACATTAAACAGACACTTGGCTGGGATGGGTGTCAGGGATGATCGTGCCCAAGGCAGGAGGGGCCCAGATGACCTTGCGAGGTCCCTTCCAGCCCTTCTTTTCCACACGTGACCTAGACTGTCACACTACACCCACAGGAAGACTCTGCAAGCCACAGCATCACCCACTTCAGTGCAGAGTCCTGCTCCAAATACTGCACCTATGCTGTATTATACTGTCCAGTGATTTCCACTTACTTTATACCATGCCACTCTCCAAGAACAAGCCTGCTCTCGAGCCTCTTTACGGCTGGAAGTCAGATGTGGCTAAATGGTAAGCGCTCCCTCCCTCTTCTCTTGTCCCGAAGGAGGAAGGAGCACCCGACATGCCTTGAGAATGCAATTGCTCTCCACCTGAAATAAAGTTATCTGATGCCGCTGACACTCTGAACTTGTCTGTGTATTACTGCTATTATGCCGCCACTCCTAGCACAGCCAACCTAAGTCCAGGGACATGCAACTTCTGCTCCGTCTGTTCCCAGGAAACAGCGATGTTACACTTTCAAAAGGTAATTAAACAAACCTGCTTTTCTACGACACCTGGCAAGCTACCATCCCTCCTCTCACGTCCATCTAAGGCACAATCTACTACAGGCTGCTAAGAGGGCAAGTCGGGAGACAGTGCTGATGAAAAGCAGACATCTAATACATACACACTGCACACAACCATTACCTAGGCGCAGCTGGAAGCAGACAGCGCAAAACACCACTAACTCAAGACAAGGCTGCCTGACACCAGACCCATCTCCCACACCAAATAATTCATGACCCTGTTGTGACAGAGGCCCGTTATCCTCATCTGCTTCGCAGACATAATCCAGCCACATACTGCAAGCCCTGGGCTAAACTATCTTGTCACCCTGGGATTTCTGGCTTATTGTAAATCCAGACAGGGCTGGAAAGCAGATGACGCTGCATTCACCTTCTCAAACGTCCAAATAGGTGCTTCAGGTAAGGGCTTCATTCAAATATATTCGTCCGGTAATAAGAAACCAAGCCAAAACCCCCTAGGCTCATTTACAGTTCAACACTAGGGGACTTCTACAGGAGCTCAGTGATACCCTCTTGGCGCTGGTTATAAAATATTGCAGGTAATGAAGGACGTGGGGAGTTCCAGCGCTCGTCCACCAACAAACCACCTTCTTCTCGCTTGCTTCCCTGGGATTTTTACAGGTCATCTCTGGTCCAACCCACTCAAGGTTTTCCACATCCTTGTTGATGACCAACATGCGGAGGACACCAAGTTGAGCGTATAGTTGCACACACTAGGATCAGGAGTGACCTGGATAGACTGAAGAAATGGTGTTCAGCCTTAAAACCAGACATACCCTGGGTGTGAGCTCCGGCCTCAATGTCAAAGCAAAGGATATTATAACGAGGGGCAGATCCAGGGGGGTGCGGTGGTGCAAACCAAACCCCCTTTGATTCCTGCTCCACCCAAAGTTTAAAACCAACTGCCTGGCAATGCCTGCAGCATTTCTAGTCGATGAGGGAGCTGAATGACTTTGTGGCTCATTATCATCTGCCTGATCCCTTCTGAACTCCTCATCTCACAGGTGTTAACAACCCTCTCTCCTTTTGTTTTAAGGGTCTTGATGTTCCATTAATCAAGCTAACCTTTCTTGCACTTCTGCTATTAGCTGCTCCTCTTAATGTACCTCCTATTTCAGAGTCCTGCAGGCTCTTTTTTAACTCTGGCTATAAACATCAGCTCAAGTGAGGAAACATTAACTCTGGATAATTTTCAGGGAAGCACTGGTTGCCCTGTCGAGATGCTTAAGGTGGCTAGATTTTGTTTGCTGTGTCTGAAAGATGCATACATTTAATTCTAGTGACGACAGCACTAAAGAAGCAACAACTTTTGATCATTTTTCCTAGTTTATTGTGGGCTTTTGTACATAACAGATGTTAGTGCAAATTAATGCATGTGACAATGAAGTTGCATTTGTTTTTTGCTTCAGTCTTAAACTGAGTAATACCCCTAGTACAGTAGTAAAGCTAGTTTCTTTTCCCCTGGAGAGAAATGTGTGCTGTGTTGTATGCGATGATGAACCACAGCATCTTCACTCCCTTTTTCAAAATCCTAGATCTGCTCATGATTATAGCCCACCTGGTCCATCATCTAATTAAGACAGTGCCTGCTCTCAAATAGCAATAAGCTCTGTTAAAAAGATAAACCCGTGTGTGTAGGAAGAGAAGCGTGCTGGATGGTGGCCTGAGATGGGAAAATTCATTCTTCGAGGAACTGGGGATCATTCAAAACCTCACCGCTGTCTGGGCCCAGGCCCACCTTCTTGCCCTTCTCCTCTCTAACAAATAGATAGCAAAAACTAAGAGCAAACAAAACCTGACAAGAACAGAACTCTTTCTTGCACAAACCTCTGCTCCGGGAGAGGAGATAAGAGAACAAACAGGACCTGACAGACGATAGTAATGTTGCTCAGTGTGCTATTTGAAGGCCTTCGATACTACGGAGATGAGAGCAGCATATGAACCTCTGCTGAAACGGAACAGACTGGAATAAAACCTATTTGCCGCATGTAACAGCATAACCATCGGCCCCAAGCCATTTGCTGTGTTATTCTTCTGGTTTATAACTTGTAAAACGGTGGCTACACAGATGGCGGATAATCTATGTATTCGAGGTTCTTAGACTTGCTGAGGACTCTGAAAGTTAAACTGCACGCTCATCTGCTCCCAAAGATGATA